AAGTGGATCGTAGGGCTGATAGAACTATGTCACCTACTGGCGAAACAGCCGTTGCCAGGCCCAGTACGGGCTCATTCCACCAGGGCTGTTGCTACATCCACTGCTTTCCTGAAGGGAGTACAGCTGCAAGACATTTGCAGAGTCGCAACCTGGGCCACGCCTAACACCTTTATCAGGCACTACGCCCTAGACGTCCGCCAGTCCACCAGTGACAGTCTGGGACGTCAGGTTTTATCATCGGCTAAGCAGTAAACACCTGACAGCACCCGCCTCCAGGTAGGCTACTGCTCGCTAATCTCCCATTGGTGTGAAGCACAGAGACCACGAAGAAGATAAACAGGTTGCTTACCAGTAACTGGTGATCTTTGAGTGGTCATCTGTGCATTCACACCACCCGCCCTCCTGCCCCGCTGCTGTCTTCTTCTACCTGTTTTATTAGGAGATTGATACGCGGCGGTTGGTAGGAACTGGCGGGATGTCCGTGCCTGCCCTTCTGGGCATGCTCGCTGGGGCTCCTGAGCATGCTCAGTTGGGCCAGGCACGAAAATCCTTTCAAGAGAGCTTGCTAGGCACCGGCAGATCCAGCGCAGGCGCACTAGATCCCCATTGGTGTGAATGCACATATGACCACTCGAAGATCACCAGTTACTGGTAAGCAACCTGTTTTTTTTTACACTTCCAACAATTATTCAACATATTTTTGTACATTTTAGCTAATCTGTCTAGTGATTTTTATTTTTTTTAATTTTCTGTGTGTGAACAAGAGAAAGAGGCATAAATTCTTGCCTTAGTTTTTAAGTGCGTGTTTGTGCGTTTACAAAACATTTAATCAAGGTTAACTTTTTGGATTGTTTTAGGAAGCAGAAGAAATGCACATCAAGGCGATTCAGATCAAGGAGCAACTTCTGGGCCAAGAGGATTACGAAGTAGCTCTCTCCGTGGGACATCTTGCCTCACTTTACAACTACGACATGAACCAATACGAAAACGCTGAAAAGCTTTACTTGAGATCGATAGCAATTGGTGTGTGAATTCTAAGCACGGCTTGTGATATTATAGACGCACACTGGTGGGTGGGTTTGGCACTGCTGCCATAGCAAGCAGGTTGCTATAGAGAGCGTATGGCAGAGTGTATGCCTTTAGGGCTCGAGGGGGTCTTAGAGGCCATCTATTCCAACCCCCGATTCACTGGAAGAAATCCAAAACTGGAGTTACTGTATATACTGAATAGGAAGATGACTTTGAGTGTAAGATGACTCCTTAAAAGGGGAGGGGGGGAATACGTAAAAGCAGATGATCCTGAATTAAATGCCCCCTAAGAGGTCAGCCAACCAGAAGTGCCCCAGTCCCACCAGCATCCATCTTCTCCTTCCAGCACCCTCCCCACCCTTGAGCCCCATGTGCCAGTGCCCTGTCGCTTATTCCCCTGTGAGGGTGGGATCAGCAGGCAGGAGGAATAGCCGCCTTACACACCGCAACCCTGAGAGAAGCGGCTCCACCCAGGCATTCCCATTCTCCCGCTGGCTAATGAGCCGAGCACACGCCTTTTCCCTCCGTGCCATGCGAGAGCCACCATGGCAGTCTGGGCAGGGTTTGGTGCTTGCTGGCTCTGCCGATGCTCCTGGTGCTACCTGAGGGGTTGCTGTGCAGGTAATGAGCGGAAGTTGCCTTGTTTTCCCCCTCTCCCTCGGCGTCTGTACCCTCTGCGGACCATTTCCTCATCTCTGCTTTGCACAAGAGAGCTCTTCCCCCTCCCTCCGTCTTTTCCTTGGCTTCCTTCTTGCCCGCCCAGTCCTGGCAAGGATTCTCCTTTATGCTGGGAAACTGGAGCACACTGGCTGCTTCCAGCCCCCTCTGCAGCTGACGTAGAGGCTGGCCTCCCTCCATGCTTTTGAACAGCTCGGCCACAGTCATGGAAGGAGGAGCACGCGTGCCTGACAGCACATCCAGTCTGCAGAACCCAGCTAATGGGAAGCAGCCCCCCCCCCCCCCCCCCGCTTGTTTCTCTGGGCCGTTTGTCAGATTAGCCCACCCACCCTGGCAGAGCCTGCCAGTAATAGTATGGGGGCAACTTTAACATATCAGTAAATTGGTATGCAAGTTGGAAGACATCCCCCCCACACACACACACACCTTTTGTAAGGCCAAAAAAGTTTTTAAGATACTGTCTTCCTTTCGAGTAAATGCAGTAACTCCAAGCAGTGGCTGTCTAGGCTCTGCTCGAAAGACCCCAGCAAGGGAGAACCCACCCGCTTACCTCTCAGATAAGTGGATCTGTTGTCAAACTCTTCTTACCATTGGGAAGTTTTCTCTTAGTGTTTGGCTGAGTTCCCGCCCGCTGTACCTTAAGCCCATTTGATCTAATCTTGCCCTCTGGAGAAGCAGAGAACGATGCCTTTGCTTAAACAAAATCAGAATTTCTCCTCTCCTTTTATTCCAAGTTTAAAATTAGCTCCAGCTAATGAGATTTTTAAACTTCCTAATCTTCATTAATAACTGCTGTCTCACAGACACATTCCAATGCAGCTTTAAAAAGCAGTTCTGTCTGTGTTTGTTTCTGTTTCAGGGAAGAAGCTTTTCGGAGAAGGTTACAGTGGACTAGAGTATGACTACCGAGGCCTCATTAAACTGTACAATTCCATTGGCAATTATGAGAAAGTATTTGAATACCACAATATTTTGGCCAACTGGAACCGGTTGCGGGACCGTCAGTTTTCGGTAGCAGACGCCCTGGAGGATGTCAGCAGCAGCCCTCAGCCCACTGAAGAAGTGGTCCAGTCTTTTCTGTTGTCGCAGACCATCGACGAACAGATTTGCTAAGGAACTTGGTCGATTTTACCAACTGCTAATTCCCCCCACACACATACACACACACACACCATTTTCCCCAAATTTACACGGGAAAGTCATACTGTGAAATCTGAAAACCATGTCGTTGGTTTTTTTTTCTTGAGGAGGCTGGAGTCGCATTGAAACACTGGTCCAGACCATAAAAATCCCCCGGCTTGGGGTGATCCCAACTTCGGCAGAGTGCCTGTACAGACAGATGTGTGCTAAAATTCTTACCAGCATGTTTATTTTCAGCTCGCATTTTCAACCTGATATTAAAAAAAAAAGAAAGAAAGACTTCCATGTTGGTTTTTTCTCCCCCTCCCCCTTTTCTTTTTTGTTGGAAAGACGCTACTTTACAGGAGATCTCTGCAAGCAAAGAGAGAAATAAAACCATTTAAATGTCCTAAAGAGTTGCATTCTTCATTGTGAGAGGAAGGGGGCCATCTGGTCAGCACTTCCGACGAGTTGGAGTCGGAGAGCACCGGGTGGTTTTGCTCCTTCTTACACTAAGGTGGTCATATTCAGTACGGATCTGTCAGGAAACAGCAATGGTTCATCACGGATATTCACACACACAGAGGGGGGGTGTTAAGATCTGGCTTTTGCCTTTTTTCTGCCTTACGAGGAAGCACAGCAACAAACTCCTCCAGGAAGCAACGCTGGGTCGCGAACTGTGCTAGGCTGCCGATTGACCAACCTGGGCTTTTCAACAAGCATCCGTACCGGACCAGTGATTGTTGGAAGGCGATATAAATCCCTCTTGGCTTTCCTTGTCGATAGAGGAACAAGTTAACCACAGTTTTGTGGGGGGGGTTCTGTCACAGGACCAGGAGAATTAAAAACGGACCAGTCTGTCCTTAGAAAAAGCGTGCCGTCTTGGACCAATGGCTCCACGTTATGATTTCTGCCCCCCCTCCCCCCACATTCACATCTATCCCGGTAGACTTATTTCATCAAAGTGTATTTCCAGTGATAATGAAGACTTTATATACGTGTAATAGGTAACAAAACTAGGAGCTTCAATGTTCGTTGGCGGTTGCAATGGCATGTCTTTTCAAAATACTAAGGTTACTCAGATAAACTAGATGTTAATGCCATAAGCAAAACTTAAAACGCTTCTTATTTCCTCTTTATTTTTCTTTTCATGCTTTCAAAGCAGGCTCTCTCTAAAAGGCTACGACTTGCTTGTGCACATGTTGGGTCGGATCCTACCGGTTTGTTCCATTGGTGCTGGGGTCTTCCTCCGGTGCAGCAGCCATTCCCCAGACAAGCACTAACAGAACAAGACTGTAGGATCGACCCTTAAGACACTGATTTTATTTGAATTTCTGGAGATTAGTTTATTGTACAGATTGCAGGGGTCAGTGGATAATGCCAAAAAAGCACAACTGGTCTGTCTCGCTCTTTAAAAAAAAAAAAAAGCTTCATTTTTTTTTACTTCCAACAGAACAGCCAGATCCTGATTCCTTTATTATATTTTTAAAATTGTCTGTCATATTTTTTAAAAAAGAGATATATAACTATGCCTGTCTCACTAGCTTGTCTTAATTTTTCCATTGTGTACATGGCTTGTTTTTATGCTTTTCTCTTTTTTTCCCTTTGATCAAGTCTTTTTTTATGTTGAGGTAATAATCAAAATCTGGAAGACCAATGTAGCATAGCCAGCAGGATAAGGGTGGGAAAAATCATTGCTGTTATTACCTCAGTTCTCAGTATGGAGTCACAGGCACAGTGTCTCTGTACTTAAGGGTCCGGGGGCTCCCCTATTTTCAGGGGTTTTTAGAAGTTGGCTGTGGGAAAGCTTCTTCTAAGTTGAGTCATAACCCCCCAAAAAACTTTTCTACAGTATTTGAAACAAACCTTCGCATATTTTTGGAGTTTCAGGGGGAGGCCTGTGCGTTTTAAGTTCGCTGTCGGTGGCTTTCGATATTTCTCTTAATCTAACTATAGCAATAGCTTTGGCTTCTAACGTGGAATATGGCAGGCTGATAGTTTGTGCCTTTAAAATGTTTTCGTGGGTGGGGGGGGTGTCCCAGTGATAATCGTCCAAATGGATGCATTTTGGATGTGTTGGGTTTAGCACTTAGGGGAATTGCTGTAGGCAAAAGGGGCTGCAGAACCATTCACAGTGGGAAGATCTTAACGGCTTGTCATTGTATGTCAGAGTCAACTTTTCTCCACGGTGCTTTCTGTCCAGATTCTGCAATATGACCCTCCAAAACACGGGTGCTGCGTTCACTTAATGCGTTTTCCACCCCACAGTCACCACTCATATCCTAAATTATTGACTTCTAACCCGAAGTGTTCCCAAGAATAAAAGCTTGCGTTTGTAACCCAAAGTACCAAATCTTCAGTTAGTATCTTGCATTCAACAAGTGCTCCTTCCTGCGGCTTTCAACTTGGCTACTGTGTAGATGGTTTGATTTAATAACCGAGATGGTATCACAATGAAATAAGGGGCTGTAGACACAATGGGAGTAATTGTGGTGTGTCAGACAGTATGAAGCTTTGAACTTTGTTGGTCTCTGAAGTGCAACGGTAGTGTTATTTTATGAGTTTCAGCTGTAAGTTGTGTTGTTGTTGTTGTTGTTTTTAAAAAAGCCCATTGCATTTCCACCAATGCAATTTTGGAATTGCTTAAACAAAACACTCCTGCCTTTACAATAATGCCAGTTAAATTGCCTTACAAAATTTAAAAAGATGGGATGGAAGGAAGCAACAGTACACCAGTGGAATATACTGACTGAAATAGCAAATTAAGATAAACTTTTTTCTTATAAGCAAAAAACTCGTTCAGTAGATTAAAAAGAAATTTAGGAGCTTGCTCCATTACATGACCTTTGGCCGTACCTTCAGCAGGATTAACTCTGGTGTAGATTCCTGAAAAATTGTTTCTCCAAATGAGGGCTGGCAGAACCAATCTTAGAGGGAGTTAAGTTTGTTTTCAGAGAAGACTATAACAAATTCAAAACCCATATTGGTTGATTGGCTCAAGCCTCTCTGATTACTGTTGGTTTGCTTCATTTAATTGTAATAAATGCTTATCTCCTCAATCTAGTCTGGTGGCAACTAAGAATTATTGGGAGAAACTTACACAGTTTTTTCAAAATATTGAATTGCCATGTTTAGGTATTCCAGTTTTAATGTGTGAGGACCTGAATAATTAAATTCTAGTGGTCACTTAATAATATTTATAGACCAGTTTGGTTTGATTGTGGGTCAGTGGGAAAAGACAGGATTCTGGCATTGTTGGACCTGTTGAGGCCAGTGCAGTCTAGAAAGAACACACCTGGCTGGTTGGAAACTGGAAGTGTGTCTGCTTATTTGTTCCCCCTTATCCCAGAGATAGAATGTCAGGCAAAAAATAGGTTGCTGCTGTACTGACTTGAACAAGGCAGCCTCCCTTATTTTAACCCCCACATTGTTTACAGCGACTGCTCAAGTGGTCCAAAAGTGAGCTAAATGCAGTGCAGTCCGGTTTATCCATGGCTTCCTTCCCACAATCGAAAGGGATTTGAGAAATCCCGAGATTCTTTGAACGTAACACTTGAGCAAGCCTGTTGGGTTTCTGGAATCCAGATGTAATAAGCAACGGTGGTGTCTTAGGCCTTTTGCTGTTCTAGTTTTGTCTTGATGCTTAGGATGCTGTCTAGCCAGTCCACAAGGTCTTTGAATGTATCATTCGGGGGTGCTTCTAAATGTATGCAGCTCAGCCAGTTGTAGAGTAGCACAGTTCAGGATCCTCGATCACTCATTCTCCCGCTTGCATTGGCCAGGGATCGTTCCCTTCCAAATCAGACTAGTGAAAGACCTTGGGGGGGGGGGGGAAGAATTGTTTCTCAGCTATCCCCTTTTGGGTTACCCCCCCCCCCGGGTGATTGAGTGAAGTATTTTATGCCAATAAAGGTGTTTGTTTGTTTGTTTGATTGAGTGAAGTCACAGTATAAACTACTTGAATCATTTCCAGCCCAATGGCATGTGATATTGTAAAACACTTCCACCCCCCATAATCCTTAAATGCACAGGCCTGCCTTCTAAATCATGTTGACTGTTTTGGAATATGCCAGATTGAGTCAGACACTGGAAGAAGAGAGATTGCTTTGTGTGGATGTTCGTGCTGGCGGTCTACCTAGACTTATCACTTGAGTTTATCCAAGCTGACATATTTGGTTGAAGTATAATTTTTTTGAACCTCTCCCAGTGAAAACGCAAAGCTTTTGCCTTGGCATTCCAAAAGGTCCAGAGGGCTACCACCTCTCTCCATATCCTCTTGGAACCGGCCTGCTGGTCATTTCTGCCCTCTGGAGCAGTCCAGTTACCCCAGTTCAGCCGGATCTTGTCAGGGCTTGGGAGCAAAGTAGGGTCAGCCACAGTCAGTACTTGGATGGGAGACCCGCCAAGGAAGACTGGGTTTGCCACGAGGAGAAAGGCAGCGTCAAACCACCTCTGCTCATCTGCCTGGAATACCCCATGGAAGGGATCGCCATGAGTCAGTCAAGAGTCACCGGCAGGTTCCCTTCTGCCCTCTTGCCTTCACAAGCATGGGCGGTGTTATTTATGCCCTGTAGCAGTCAAAACTTTGCCTATTGCAGTCCTCACAAATTTGAAAAGACAGAACTAACTTCCAGTTCATAGAATGTAACCATGACTAAAGTCCTGGATTCCCCCCCCCCCCCCAGCTTGTGCATGATCTATCTCATGACTACACTTAAGCAAAACCCTTGGTAATGGTGAACTGTCCCTCCGTGTAGGCAAGGTCGTTTTGTTTTGTTTTTAATGGGAGAATGCGTAGCTGGAGAACTTCTTGAGATCCCACGCTGCTTGCTGCACAGTAGGAGGTTAGTCATAGTTGATAACTCTTTTTTAAAAAAACCAACCCTGTAATAAAACCGTAAATAAATAGATATTAATTGCAGAAATATATGATACCTTAAAGACTGAATTAATTACAAAGTCAAGATAAGTACAGGTTTGTAAAGCATAAACATCATAAACCAATTTTAAAGGCAAGGTAAGTCCCAAATTGTGGAAACTTCAAAACAGATCATCAGTCAGTGAAGAACCAGCACTTCGACATCAGGGAAGACCCATCGATCAGGAGAGAACCATCATGACCTCCAGGAGAAAGCTCTGATTAATTTCCATATTGAAATAGTTCATTGGTGCCCATATATAAGAATTATATGACAGACACAGGCTTTTAGTGGAATGATTGTCATCTTTAATTGTATATTAGGCATTTTGTATTAAATATTACATATTTAATCATATATTACACGTTTTACAAGTATTATTGTAAAATACTTGTTGGTTTCACTGAAGAAGTTTATCGAGACTAGTGAGTCTATACCCGGGATTCTCGTGTGATGACTTTTTGATGGTTCTCTCCTGATCGATGGGTTTTCCCTGATGTCGAAGTGCTGGTTCTTCACTGATTGATGATCTGTTTTGAAGTTTCCACAATTTGGGACTTACCTTGCCTTTAAAATTGGTTTATGATGTTTATGCTTTACAAACCTGTACTTATCTTGACTTTGTAATTTATTCAGTCTTTAAAGTTTTGTATATTTTTGCAATTAATATTTATTTATTTAGCTTATTTATTTACAGGGTTTTTTTGGGGGGGTTGGGGGGTATTTACAGCTGATATCTTAGCAGTGCCCTCAAAAAACCCCATAAACTCTTTGAACTGCTAACACCTGAGCTTTTGAAAGTTTAAATTTTGAAAACTTGGACTTCTTGGTTAGTTTTCTGCTTGGAACATAGACCTCAGAAGAGGGCAAAGTGAGTACAGTAACTAATTAGAAAGTGAACAGATGCTGAGCTGCGTGGAAGGCAAGACAGGAGTCTGAACTTTTGTTTGCTTTTTAAGGTAGACTCTCAGTTTTGGGGATCGGCTTTTAACGTTGGCCAAAGGCTACCTTTTGCATATCA